GATATTACATAGAAGTAATATAATTTTGATTACAATATTTGTATTAATTATAATTGAGTAATGTAACGCCGTACATCGGTGGTGCCTGAGAGGCACACTTGAAGTGTTAAAGGTTAATATTAGCACAAATTAGCTTGTATACAAATTGTTTATATACCACATATACATATAGCTATAGTATTATTATATGGTAACCTATAATTTTAGCATGTGATATATAAACCAGTCCCACAATTAAAGGATTAAAATAATAGGGTTAAAAGGTTCAAAATAAATTTCTGCATGAAATATATTAGAACAGGAAACAAAAATTAACGAAATATTTTATTATCAACAAATCAATGATTTATGAAATGCTTCAATCAGACTATCAAGTTTAAAATATTTAAAGGTATTCATACAATCGCTTAATTGCTTTATTGATTAAACGGTTTGTAATTACTGGGTATCTTATGACTTGTAATTGATATGATAAGAGAATAAATTATACTGAATGAAGCCGCAGAATGCAGCGAACTCTAATGGCGGAATAAATATCTTTCTCTGCAATTTTCACGATATTCTTGATCGATAAAGAAGTTTCTTGATCCAGTGAGGAGGTGAACGTGACATTTTGAAATTTTTGGGGTCCTTTATTTTGAGTTTTGGGAATTTGAGAATATTGGAAATTTAGAAATTTAGTAACTGGAAAATTGGGAAATTTGGTAATTTGGAAAATTTGAAAAACTTAGAAAATGTGGGAAACTTGAAAAATGAGGAAAATTAGGAAATTTAGAAGTTTGGTAATTTGAAAATTTTTGAAAATATGGAAAATTAGAAAATTTAGAAATTTGGTAACTTGGAAAATTTGGAAAATATGGAAAACCGAGAAATTGGAAAAATTAGAAAATTTGGAAAATTAAGAAATTCAGAAATTTGGTAATTTGAAAATTTTGGAAAATGTGAAAAATTAGGAAATTTAGAAATTTGGTAACTTGAAAAATTTGGAAAATATGGAAAACCGAGAAATATAGAAATTTGGAAAATGTGGAAAATTGGGAAGTATGGCAATTTGGTAATATGGAAAATTTGAAAAATGTGAAAAATTGAGAATTTGAAAAATTTACCCATTCAACAACTTTACAATTTGAAAATATAATTTGAAAATCCATATTTCCAAATTTTTAATTATCTTACTCAGTACATATAATACCTTTCTCCATAAACAATAAAACACAATTTACAAATTTAAAACACAGTTCTTTCTGTAAATTTTTCGAACACAAAACTGTTCACTTTCTCGAATACGATATACGAGACACGTACCCTAAGTTAAACTTTTCTTGAAAGAGAAAGAAGAGAGATCTGATATTGTCGTCGAAATGTATCGCCAACAGTAATATTAAATAAAAACAAGTTTTGATACCTGACACACTCGATTCGGCAATCCAACGGGATTGTTACGACGACGATTTCTAAAGATAAAAATTTGCCGATCATCGTTAAGCTTCTCTCACATTAGACTCATTTGAGAAACGGGCACATAACTGTATTTTAATGTCCTGCTTGACTAATTCGTGAGAATCATCGTCGTTCATTTTAAAACCGCAACACCAATTTTTATTTAATACTAAACCTACTGATCTACAGTGTATAATTCTGAAGTTGTAAATGAGGTCAAGAAATAAGTAAACAAATGGTATAATGAAAATTAATGTACATATAAAGTTTTTGTTTTTATAAAAATCAACATGCATTTTGAAAAAAATACTTTAATAAATTTTGTAAATTAAAATGCGAAACTTGTAAAATTTGTGAAACAGTCATTTGATTATTATGCATATTCACATTCATAATTATGAATATTATTTATATATAAATTAAATATAATAATGTTTTTAGTTAACATTTAAATTATACATATAAATAATAAAGTAACTAATTAACTATTTAACTAAAAATTAACCTTCTTAAATATACATAATATTTATGTTTATGACAGCAGATTTATATTTAATTATAGAGAGTTTGCTTTCAGAGAAAATTAATAATAAATAACTAATAATTAATAATTATTTCTTTTCTTGAAAACCAGCCTTCTATAATTAAATACAAATCCAACTTAAAAATATAAATACAATTTATACAATTTAAGAGGGTTACATTAAGTGCATTCAATAATAAATAATAATAAAATAAATTTATATATTAACGAATATGTATATGAATATGAATAATTAATTAAATTATAATACTAATAACAATTGTACTTAAATAAATGAATTGATCACCAATTTTTATTCGAATAAATAAATTTAAATATATTGGAACACATGAATAATTTATATCGATTTCGAAAATTGTCAGTGAGAGATACTTTTATTGATACGATTAAAACATTTTGTCTTTTTAAGATCCGTGTTCGGTTTCTGTTCTATTCTTGGACTGAATATATTAGAAAATTTCAGAGGACATCTTCTCATGATGATGTAACTGAATCTCTTTTATGTAACACATTTTCACTTTCGTAAGAAATTATGACAAGATTTAATGCAGTGTATTACAATGTAGTCTTGTGGGATTATTATTTTAAATGAGAAGTATTACGAATGTTTAAAACATAGTTGGTTAATGTTCATTAAATCTAGAAGGGAAAATTTAACAGATATATAAATTTGGAAAATTCATTTAGAAAATGACCTTTGTCAATTTATTTTTGTTTCTCACAACTATATGGTTTTTAATCCAATAAGGTATTTTTAAAATTCGACCCCACCCTTATATTTTAGTAGCAGCTTTAAAATCACACAACAGTTGTAGAATATCAAGAGGCACATAAAATGGTGATAACAGTTTGATGGATGGTGGTTTGAAGGTCACGTCATCTTCAGTTTCTAAACTAGAACCCTCAAAAAGTATCACATGTACACTAAGGCCCTTGTGGGTACATTAAGGACCTTGTTTACGTACCCCCACTACCACAATCCTTAGTCGAGCTCAAAGAACGCATCAACACTGCAGTGCGAACAATTGTTAAGATTATGCTACAAACTGTACGGAATGAGCTCCATACATGTATTGAATGATTATGAACATGTGTCTTGTCACAGTGACACATATTGAACATCTAGAGGGTGTATAAACTTGATTAGTTTCCGGTTCTTTTCATATATCTTTTCATGTATGCTTCTATGTGTAACACTTCTGAACATATACCCTTTTTAAAACAAAATGAATCATTCATACTATCCCTGTACTTAAACGCCACCAAATCTGAAACACCCAGTATATTTCATTACTTCTTTGGTGACTATCAAGACAACTATGGTGTTGGACACAATTATAATTGCGTTAGTGTCGCGAAAGAAGGTCAACCCAATGAAAAATAGAAAGATCGTTGACTCTTTTACCGTAAGGCCAAGGTTAATGAAGCAAACAAGGCACGTAGAAAGGATGCAAAACGTTTGAATTTGATGCACAATGGTCTGCAGATTAAGCCGTGACTCGTGCATAGACTGTAGACTGCTAACTGTAGACCATAGATGACGAGAGAAAGTATGCGATCAGATATGGGGTCTTTCGACTCCATGAAAGCAAAGAGAAAGAGGAGTCGCATGAAGACTTTTAATTCGCACGCATGGTATGAGACAATGCTTTCTGGGGATTTTACATCCTTTTAGATTTGGGACTCGTGATGCAACTGTGTGAATGTTTTTGTGAAACTCTGGGTGTAGTTTGTATGAAGGAACTATTATATGATGTTTATATGGAACTACATGTGTGAATTATGTGGAACTTGATGGGGAGGTTATATGGAACTTTATGTGGAGGTTACATGGAACTCTATGTGGAGGTTATATGGACTTCCAAGTGTGCGTTATATGGAACTTCATATGTAGTTTATATTTGGACTTCCAAGTATAGGTCATGTGGAGCTCACATGTGTAGTTTATATAGAACTTTATATGGAGGTTATATAGACTTTTAAGTGTGGGTCATATGGAACTTCATGTGTAGTGTATATTTGGACTTGCAAGTATAGGTCATGTGGAGCTCACATGTGTAGTTTATATGGAACTTTATATGGAGGTTATATAGACTTTTAAGTGTGGGTCATATGGAACTTCATGTGTAGTGTATATTTGGACTTCCAAGTATAGGTCATGTGGAGCTCACATGTGTAGTTTATATGGAACTTTATATGGAGGTTATATAGATTTCTAAGTGTGGGTCATATGGAACTTCATGTGTAGTGTATATTTGGACTTCCAAGTATAGGTCATGTGGAGCTCACATGTGTAGTTTATATGGAACTTCATATGATGTTTACATGTGTACTTTATATGAAATTTCATGCATAGATCATATGGAACTTCATGTGTAGTTTATATAGAATTTCATGTGTAGGTCATATGTAACTTCATGTGTAGTTTATATTTGGACTTCCAAGCATAGGTCATATGGAACTCACATGTGTAGTTTATATGGAACTTCATATGATGTTTACATGTGTACTTTATATGAAATTTCATGCATAGATCATATGGAACTTCATGTGTAGTTTATATAGAATTTCATGTGTAGGTCATATGTAACTTCATGTATGCTTTATACGGAATTCCATATATGGATTATATGTAACTTCATGAGTGATTTATATGAAGCTTTACATGACGTCTACATACATATGAAATTTCATGTGTAGTCCATATAGAACTTCATACGTAACTTATATGAAACTTCATATTATAATTCATATACAACGTTATATGTAGTTTACATATAACTCATAAACAATACAAACTTCCGCAAATTTTTCAATCTTTGAAAATTCCTCAATCTCCGATAGAAATTCCTCATTTCGGTGCGTAACGACCGTATTAGCGAAAAGAGAGCATCAGGCGCTAAAGGAAGGACGTAAAAACGGAAGAGAGCACGTAGCCGAAGCGACGAACGGTATACGGGGTCACGACGTGGTTTCGTTTCGTGGTCTCCGAAGCTGGCATTGAAAGGAGTTACCTGGTGAGCCTCTCTCGACTGGTTTTCACTCTCGGCACTCGTTGCAAAGCGATAGGATGAAGCCGGTGTCTGCGTTCCTCGCATCTGTTGCCATTTTACCGGTTTTATTCGACGTCCAGGATCTGCACGCGGTCGTAGAGCTTGAAAGATCATCGCGACGAAAAGCTCGTGATACGTGCTGCTCGTTCCTCGTGTGAAAGTACAGTAAGTAGGATAAACGTGACGGAAAAAAAAGAATATGAGCTTCGTTGTGAAAATTTTGCTCGAGCGACATATTTTGGAGGCGATGTGGGCGAGTTTAGAAATCGTGAGAATCGGGGATTATGTGTTGGATAACAGATGATGTTTCTTGGTGAAATAGTTGTGAATTATTGTGAGATGGTGATTATTGTGATAGATGTTCGTAATCATTTGTTATATTGAATTTGATAGTGAGTTATAGTAATAATTATATTAATTATTGTTTATAATAAATAATACTGATAATTCGTTAGCATACATCATTTTGACAGTGAGTTATAGCTAATGTTATTTATTATTGTTTATAATAAATAATACTGACAATTCGTTAGCATACATCATTTTGACAGTGAGTTATAGCTAATGATATTTATTATTGTTTATAATAAATAATACTGATAATTTATTAGCATATATCATTTTGACAGTGAGTTATAGCTAATGATATTTAATATTGTTTATAATAAATAATACTGATAATTCATTAGCATACATCATTTTGACAGTGAGTTATAGCTAATGATATTAATTATTGTTTATAATAAACAATACTGATAATTCATTAGCAAAAATAATTTTGATAATTCGTTACAATAAATAACCTTGATAAATCATTATAATAAATTATCTTGAAAATTCACTACTACAAATAGTCTATATAATTCATTATAACAAACAATTTTGAGCTAAATCATCTAATAAAATTATCTCAATAAGCTATCACAACAATTTGTCTTAATAATCTAAACAAACTAATAAAACAAGAAATATAAAAATATATGATAACAAATAATTAAAAAAATGTTTAAAACTGCAATAAACCTAAAATAAAAAATTATTTGTAGTTTTAAAATCATTTAATTTAATCACAAGTTTTATAATAAAATTAAAACAATAATAAAAATAAAACAAAAATTGTCAATTTCTCTGTGATAAAAAATAATAAAGATATCAATGATTTCTACAATTTTTTTAAATTTCTTGAACAAAAAAAAAGATAAGTTAGTGTAGTATAATATTATAAAAATTAAATTTATTAAAAATAAATAAATAATACATTATTGAATTAATAAAAATAGTACATTATACTACTATAAACAGTAAATGTTAAAAGTTCACACTATTCAAATGATGAATGATGTAAATCTCAAAATGAGCAGACACGTGATACTCCTTTTACCTTTAATTTTCATTTTTAACACTTACAACATCGTCTAGAATGTTAACTTTTCAATTGTCTGTGAAATGTCAGACTTGTTCCTAATTATTTCTTATCTGTGGTGCTTTCTAAAGAACCGTCGTTGGTATTTCTACGACCTGGAGTGAAACAGTGCGTGGCTTTGTACTGAGCGATACTGTACAGTTTTAAAATCTTTGCATTTTTATTTATAGCCCGAATATCGGTGTCAGTAGTGGTCAACGCTTGTTTTTTTAATAGTATAGTTATTGCAAAATTGAAAATGGGTAAAGAAGCAGAACCTATAGACAGATATTTGTTTTTAGTTATTAGATTTTTAGACAGACATTTATTATCAGTTATGACAATTTTGAAGTTTTTGAAATATTCAAAATTATGTGAAAATTCTGCATTTTTTTTTAATTTGAGACTATATGACAATTTTGAAATTTTTTTGAAATTTGTGGTGGTATGACAATTTTGAAATTTTTTTGAAATTTGAGGTGGTATGACAATTTTGAAATTTTTTTGAAATTCGAGGTTGCATGACACTTGAAATTTTTTTGAAATTTGAGGTTGTATGGCAATTTTGAAAATTTGTTGAACTTTGAGGTTGCATAACAATTTTGAAATATTTTCTAAATTTGAGGTTGTACTACAATTTTGAAATATTTTTTAAATTTAAGGTTACATGATAATTTTGAAATATTTTTTAAATTTGAGGATGTACAACAATTTTTTAATTTTGTTTTAAATTTGAGGTTGTATGGCAATTTTGAAAATTTGTTGAACTTTGAGGTTACATAACAATTTTGAAATACTTTATAAATTTGAGGTCATACGACAATTATAAAAATTTGTTAAAATTTGTGGTTGTACGACAATTTTGAAATTGTTATTATTACATTATTACTATTGATGAATATTTCGATAAACTGCAGTTGCGAGCTGGCATTCAGAAAATTCGAGCGACAAATTCACCTCCTCGAATGGCACGCAAATTGGAAGTGGCTGTAGCGGGGTGGAATTGAACGGAAATGGCAATTGGTCTGACTACTTTACTCAGTACAACTTCCGTCCTCGGATTTAGCCTGATTCCTCTATTAGCAATCGGCTTGACCGTATTCCGATACAATCAAGCGGATCCAGAATCTCATCCGTCCGATGCTCGTCAGGTTTGTTCAAAATTCTTCTTTTTTACATTTTTTAAAATCATTCATCTAACAAAAATATAAGGATCTGTTACTTAGATGATTTTTATCTATAATTTATCTGAATTTTTACTTGAATAATTTTATTTAGATGATATGTACAACTTTCTGCTTTTCTAAATCTTATTAAAAAAAAGAACCTTAATTATGAAAATTTTAGTCGCTTGCATATTTATATATTTGCATTTAAGATATTTTGTTATCAATGGGTTGTAACTGCTGTAAAAATTTTCTAATTGGAACATTTAACAAAATTTGTTTGAAGTTATTTTGTTTCTATTATTAATTTCAACTATTGCTTGATTGACTATGTCTACACACCACATTACAAATTTAGCATAACACTATATATTTAATTAAAAAATACTTTAGTCAAATTGTAATAAGCGAATGATGAGTGTAAGTCACCTTTTGAATGCAAAAAGTTAAATGTAACCTCATGGTGCACGACATTCTTCAATTTTACAATAAAATAATTTATTTCTTTTTATTGCAAAAGAAAAGAACTAAAAGGCTATCAGAATTTAATAGAATAATAATACTATTTATATTATTTAAATAATAATATTTAGTTAAAAAATATTAATATGTCCTTCATCAGTCATTTTAAGGTTTTCCTAAGACCTCTTCAAGTAAAAGAATACTCTTACTATCTCTACATCATACAATTTCAATTTGAAATATTTTATTCATCTCATTTGCATTTTCAGAGATGTTCATTATGTTCACAAATAAATTAAACACTCTGTATTTATGTACTTAACGGGCTAAGCTTCTTGAATTATAATAATTATGATAAGAAAAAGTAGAATATTCACTTCAGTAAATACTGGAACATACTGTTATGCAATGGAACGCAATTTCCGCTTCCGAAAGTAGCACGAACCATCAACAATGTCGGTAAAATCACTACACTCATTCAAGAGTAGACACGGTACAGGCAATCTAGTTATCCTTGAAAAGTTCAAGCGGTCCTTTTTATTCGGACTGAAACGTGTTTGCGAATCTAGTTGCGTAATGTGCATCACAAAAAGAAACATACAATATTTAAAAATCAATTTTTTAAATCATAAAATAATATAATTTGTTTTTGTGAAAAGTAAGTATCTTGCTATTAATTAGAAATATTTGTGGATTTATTCTCTATTTGCTATTTGTAAATGTAATTTGTAATGAAACTTTAGATATTGAAGATGCGAATGCCTTTCAAAAGATTTATGCAGCGAATGTATGTAAATCGACTGTTACCTACTGTCGATACAACAGTTTACAGATCAATGGTGATTTAATAGTACTAGATATTTGACAATCAAAAATTTAAACAGACATTTTACGATTGAAAAATTTGAGAATTTGTACTTTTAGAAATGTTGAACTTTGGGAAACTGGAAATTTTTTAATTTTATAATTTTGCAATTTGGAAGTTTGGAAATTTGGCAAATTGGCAATTTGGAAATTTTAGAAAATGGGAAAGCAGAAATTTGGAGCATCGAGAATTTAGAAATTTGGTGATTTGATAATTTAGTAATTTGGATATTTGGGAATTTGGGAATTTGGAAATCTAGAAATTTGGAAATTTGGGTATTTGAAAATTCAGAAATCGGAGGAATTTGGAAATTTGGGAATTTGATACTTTGGAAATCCCAAAATTTAAATATTTGGAAATTTAGAAACTCAAAAATGTTTAAATTCCAAAATTTGAGAAAATGAGAATTAAGAATTTGAGCATTTCGGAATTTCCAAATTTCTCTCTTTCCAAATTGCCAATTTCCCAAACTTCCAAAATGCAAAATTATCAAATTTGAAAATTGAAATAGAAAAATCTTCGAATTACAAAAAATACAAATAAAAAACAACATACAATTTTCAAAAACGCACTAAATTTGTGTTCCAGCTCCTGCGAATGTACGATTTCATAGTGATCGGCGGTGGAAGTGCCGGTGCTGTGATCGCATCAAGATTATCCGAGGTGTCAAATTGGACCGTGTTACTAGTGGAAGCCGGCGGTGACGAAAATGAAATTTCAGATGTGCCTTTATTGGCTGGATACACCCAGCTGTCAGAATTCGACTGGAAATATCAAACGTCACCACCGACGGTATCAGCTTATTGTCTCGCCATGATCGGCGATCGATGCAACTGGCCGCGTGGAAAAGTTCTTGGTGGCAGCAGTGTGTTAAACGCCATGATTTATGTTCGTGGTAATCGGTAATTCAAAATTAATTGATAGTATGTTCATACAATTAATCGTCTTAAAATAAAAATTTTAGAAATGAAAAAAAATTTGCAATCCATTGGTCACTCATAATATTAATGAGACATGTGTACACATATGTCTACATATAGTCTCATGCATAGTTTTATAAGTGCATATACATATGTTTAGATATATGTATAAACATATGTATACATATAGTTTCTCACGCAGTTTTATAAGTACATATACATATGTCTAGATATATTGTATATAGACATAGGTATACATATGTAGACAATTGTATATGTACTTATAAAACTATGTATGAGACTATATGTCTAGATATGTGTATAGACATATGTATACATATGTAAAAATATGTATATGTACTTATAAAACTATGTATAATACATATGTCTAGATATGTGTATAGACATATGTGTACATATGTAGACATATGTGTATATACTTATAAGACTATGTACAAGGCTATATGTGCTTATAACTACTCATAAGACTAATAATTATTTAATTATATATTCAATTATTCTTGTCATATATATAATTATTTCACTACACATTTAATTATATAACATAAATTATCAAATTTCCCTAATTTCAGCCGGGACTACGACACGTGGGAAAGTCTGGGCAACGTGGGCTGGAGCTACAACGACGTGTTCCCATATTTCCTGAAATCCGAGGACAACCGCAACCCCTATTTAGCTCGGACCCCATATCACAGCACAGGTGGTTACCTAACAGTGCAGGAGTCCCCATGGCGGACCCCCTTATCGATCGCCTTCCTCCAAGCCGGCCAAGAGCTAGGGTACGAGAATCGCGACATCAACGGAGCTAACCAGACCGGTTTCATGCTGACTCAGGCTACGATCCGTCGAGGAAGTCGTTGCTCCACGGCGAAGGCCTTCCTGAGGCCCGTGAAGAACAGGGAGAACCTGCACATAGCGATGCACTCGCAAGCCCTGAGGGTGTTGTTCAACGACGACAAGAGAGCCACGGGCGTGGAGATCCTCCGCGATGGCCGCCAACAAGTGATCAGAGTCAGAAGAGAGATCGTCTTATCAGCCGGAGCGATCAATTCTCCTCAGCTGCTGATGTTATCTGGGATAGGGCCTAGGGAGCACCTGGAGGAGTTCAACATCCCGGTGATATCGGACTTAAGGGTCGGAGACAACCTCCAGGACCACGTCGGTCTCGGTGGGTTCACGTTTGTGGTCAACGAACCCATCAGTCTGAAGAAGGACCGCTTTCAGACCATGTCCGTGATGATGGAGTACGTACTCAACGAAAGGGGACCCATGACCAGTCCAGGTGTCGAAGGTTTGGCCTTCGTGAACACCAAGTACGCGGACAAGTCCGGCGACTACCCCGACATGCAATTCCATTTTGCACCCAGCTCCATCAACTCGGACGGAGGGGATCAGATCAAGAAGATTCTAGGTCTGAGGGACAGGGTGTACAACACCATGTACAAGCCTCTGAACCAGGCGGAGACCTGGTCCATATTGCCGTTGCTGCTCAGACCTAAGAGCTCTGGATGGGTGCGTCTGAAGAGCAGGAATCCGCTGGTGTACCCAGATATTAATCCCAACTATTTCACGCATAAGGAGGACATTGACGTGCTCGTGGACGGGATTAGAATCGCTCTGCAGCTGTCGAATACTACTGCTTTCCAGAGATTCGGGTCTAGGCCACATACTATAAGGATGCCGGGATGTCACAGATATGCCTTCGATACTTATGATTACTGGGAGTGTGCGATTCGACATTTTACGTTTACTATTTATCACCCTGCGGGGACTTGTAAAATGGGTCCTAGGTATGATCCTACGGCGGTGGTAGATCCGAGGCTGAGGGTTTATGGCGTGAAAGGACTGAGAGTGGCGGATGCGTCCATTATGCCTGTGATCGTCAGTGGCAACCCTAATGCTCCGACGATTATGATAGGGGAAAAGGCGAGTGACATGATCAAGGAGGACTGGAGAGTGAAGAAAAAGAGATTCGTGGGAAGATGATGAATGGGAGAATTGTGGGATTACTGAAATGTCTGTTGTGAAACTGGGGTCGGAGTGTAATTGTTGGTTTAGAGGTTTCTGAGTTGACGTGAAATGGTGGGTGAAAGTGTGAAGAGAATGTGGATGGAAGGAAGAAAGGGTTAACGTGGAATTTCGATTTTGGTAGTTAGCTGTGTCTTAATTAGAGAATTTTCTAGTTGTCAAGTCTTAAAAATTCTAAGTTCTTGAATTTTTCGAATTTATATGAATTCTCAAATTTCTGAATTTACTTTTCTAATTTTCAAATTTAAAAATTTTCAAACTTAGAAATTTCCAAATTCCTTAATGGTGAAGTCTGTAAATTCCCAAACTTATACATTTACATTTCCCTAATTTGCAGGTCCCATTTCCTAATTTTCAAGACTGTAAATTCAAAACTTCCTATACTTTTAAGTCTCTGATTCTAAAATTTTTAACCTTCTAAATTTCCTAATTTTCAAATCTTCAAATTCCCAAATTTCTAAATTTTTAAACTGCTTAATATTGAAATCCGTAAATTTCTAAATTCCCTAGTATTGAAGTTGGTAAATCCCCAAATTCCTGAATTTCTAAATTCCCCAATTTTCATGTCTCTAAATTCCTAAATTCCTAAAATCCCTAACTCCTTAAATCTCTAAATCCTTAAAATCCCTAAATCAGTAAAATCTCTAAATCCTTAAAATCCCTAAATCAGTAAAATTTCTAAATCCTTAAAATCCCTAAATCCCTAAATCCCTAAATCCTTAAATCCCTAAATCCTTAAAATCCCTAAATCCTTAAAATCTCTAAATCCTTAAAATCCCTAAATGCCAAAAACCCCTAAATCTCTAAAATTCCTAAATCCCTAAAATTCCAAATTCCTCAATTTTCAAATCTCTAACCATCAAACACCCAAATCCCAAAATTCCCTAGGATCACAAAAACCGTTTCTCAACGTGAAACTTTCTCAGGCATATTACGCTACAAAGAAAGTATTATTTGTCTAGCGTTTTATCTTCCAAACACGATTTGCAAGGAGGTGCCAAATGCAGTGACTTCCGTGTTAATCGATAAACAGTGAAAGCCTGCAACGGACTATATTTTGTAACTGAACCGTTTTGTATACCTCAAATCGAAGAGGAATCACAATCGTCTTCGATCAGACCAAACACGAATGTACCTTAATACTTTACACTCATTATGAACCTTCAACTTTCTTTTATTTATTAATAGAGAGCTATTTAATTGTCAATAGCGATGGGATCGACATCAATGTGGGTCAATTAAAAATTTATGAGAATGATAACGAAGCAGTATTTACACAAGGTTTACAAGTTCACAGAAAGTTAAAATGTTTTCGTTTTAAAATTAAGATTAAACTGTGTCTGACTCATGAAGGAAATACTTGATATTCAGAATACTGATTTGAGGAAAACGTAATTAATTATACATGGAAGAACCTGAATGTATGTTGCAAAATTATACATGTTTCCTTGAAATGAAGGAGAAATTCACATTGAAAATATTTTATTTTCTACTTATATAAAAGACAACGGAACAAATAATCGGTGAAAATAAATAGTGAAAAATATAGAAAGTAAATAGTGTAAGACGTGAGAATCAATTTTAATAGAAAGAGCTAAAATTTTAGCTGAACATTCTTGAGATACAACAGCGAGGAAAAATATAGTAAAAATACGAGGGTTTCAAAAAAGGGATTTATCCAGATTTTCAGGATATAAAGTGGCTAAAATTGAAGATAAATTGACTGGGGTCGTTTCATACCCAGCATGACCGTCAAGGGTTAACACATTCGTTACATCATCGCCAGTGAAACAAAGGAATATTAATAATTAATAAGGAAATTATTTAACTTAAAATAAGAGACTTAGCAAAGTTTACACTATTCGTTAAACAAGTTCGCCAGTCATTTTAAGTTATGTCTTTCATCCGAATACTTTCTTATTTTCTACCGTCACCTCATGCACTTATACAACAAATGATTTCGTGAACGAAACCACGTATACCATAGCAGCCACAAAAGTGCGTTCCGCTGTAAATCGACTGTGAAATCAAGAATCAGGATCATCGGTAACCTTGAGGATCTTAATGGAATCTTTATCCTGTAACCATTTGCGAAACGTGATATCAGGACATCGATTCGTGAATATAAAACGATATTATTCCATTAACAGTCTGATCTTTATTTCATTTCATTCCGAAATTTATATTGGGACATCGACTGAATATGTAGGTTAATACGTATTCGTTGATTAACAGGAATCGTTTATCAAAGAAACAATTTACAATGATTACGATTCTGATACATAGTAATCAACTTTACTATGTCATTTGCAATCACTATGTTATGAATCTCTAATTATCTACTTAATTGAAAATTACGAGGAAATAGTCAATCCCATCGCTAAATTATCTGTAAATAGAGTTTTTAGATCGTTATGCAAGCAATAAAGGCAATCAAACTGAATGATGAACCAAAAAGTGTCCGTAACGTGTGACCGTGCCATGGTTTAAAAAATGTATGTATATTTGTACCAAATCATGTGACTGTAAATAAAAGTTTCTGTCTAGAATTTGTAAAGTGACTACCTACTATTATCCCAAACGTTGAGTTTTGTTATTCTGTAAGAAATTGTTATTTAAGAAAGCAGGGTCTTTAAGAAAGCAGAGGAAAATTTGTAGATTTGCAGATATGTAAGTTATAAAATTTGTAAATATGAAAATAGGGAAATTACATAATTTCTAAATATAAAGATATATAAATTATAGAATTTCTAGATGTGAAAATATAAATTTGGTAAATACATAAATTATAAAAATTATGGACTTACTGAATATAAATATATATGAATTATAATATTGGTAAACATGAAAGTATGTTAATTACAAAATTTCTAAATATGCAAGTATATAAATTTTGAACTTTTGTAATGTCTCAATCTTTAACCTTCAAAATGACAAATTTACAAATCAACAAATTTATGAATTCAAGAACGACAATTTCTCAAATTTACCGATTAATAATTCTTCAAACTTTCAAATTCATCAATGTGTAAATTTCCAAATTTTCCAGATTGCAATCTCCTAAATTTTCTAATTTTCAATCTTATATTTCGACCAAAAAAATAAAAAAATCTAAAGTTAAATTGAAACATCTAATTTTCAAACTTGCATTATAGGCTAACCTTCACAACCCAATGAAGGTTATAGACTAACCTTCGTAACCCAAAACATTCAATTTAGGAATCTGTGAATTTTCAAATTCACCAATAAACAAATTTTGAAATTCTCAAATATTCCAATGTATAATCTCCAAATTCTCAAATTCACCAGTTAACAAATCTCAAAATTCTTAAATTTACCAGTTAACAAATTTCCAAATTCTCAAATTCACCAATTCACAAATTTTCCAAAATTTTACAAATTCAATTTTTCCAATTTACAATTCCCTACAGTTTCAGATTGCAATTTCCTATATTTTCAAGTACCCAATCTTCCCATGCTCCAAACTCAAAACGAAAATATAAAACCTAAACTAAAACACCTAATTTCCAAATCTTCATTATAAAATACATTAACTAACCCAACATACGAATCCCTAAATTGTCAAATTCACCCATAAACAAATCCCTAAATTATCAAATTATCAATTATCGAATTTCCCTTATTTTCCCTAAACGCCCACCGTTTCTGTAGGACACAGTAGATTTTCACCCGATCCGTGCTTATCTCGCTCGATCTCGCTGATTTCAATCTCGTATAAAAAAAACCCGAAGCCTAACTCTCGCATCGTGAGGCACGCGAGGCCAACAGTTCGAGATCGATGGATCAAGATGGAAGGCAGACGATCTCGACTTTCGTTTCGCGGGCAAACAACGTTTACGTAAGAGATTCCGTGCTAAAAGCCTCGTTACAGGATGTGACGATTCTCACGTACACTTTTTAAGCCGCGTTTCCGCTTCCTTGTCCCGTCTATTATACCGGCGGTGATTTCATCGTGATCGCGGCTATTTTCACGGAATTTATTGTTGTCACGCTGAACGACCGTGTCCTTAATTAAGATAATTACCGATACGCGTTTCCCTCCTCCGATAACATCTTTTATTCGTGGATGATTAAAGAAGTAATTGAGGAAGATTAGTTCCTCAATTAGTATTGCTTCAATCAGCTGTGTACGAAATTTTGTTACGCGAGGAAATTGTGCATCGATAATTATATTAATTAGTGTTTTCAAGGTGGATCAGGTGTAAAATTGATTTTATTGGAGGAAGTCAAACTTTGAATTTAGTATTTTATGGTTAATTATTTTATAGATTTTTTAATGGTGTTTATTAATTTTGTTGTTTGGTTGTTTTAATAGATTTGGGAATTTTTTTTATAGTTGATTAAGATAATAACGTTAATTATTAATTTGATTTATTTAATTGTTGTATTATTAATTTTATTTATTTAATTATTGTATAATTCATTTGATTTATTTAATTATTTCCTTGTTGATTAGCTTACTATTTGATTAGATTAATTAATTTAATTAATTTCATTAATCTCATTAATTTGATTACTTTAATTAATTTGGTACATTTGATTAGTTTGATTAATTTGATCATTTTATTATTTGATTAATTTGATTAATTCTATTATTCCATTATTAATATTATTTTTCATATGATCACTTCTAACAATTAAATCCAACACTTTTAATTAAAATCTAACACTTCAAATCATAATTCTAATTTGTATATAAAATCACTATAAACCGAAGCACAATTATTACAAAAATCCAACAAATCATGTACATCAGCTATGTAACCAACCGCCCGATAAATGACCGTTACCTAAGACAGCCTCCACAGCCCCTAAACCAGGTACTTATCTAACAAACGTATCACCATAAATCCAAATATGAATTGCAGATCATTCTTACTTCGAGCAACAATACATTCATACTCCGTAATTAATGAACAAGGATATTCAAAAGAATATAAAAATATACAAAGAATACAAAAGTCGAGTGTGCTTCAGAAATTCGCAGACACATCGTGCGAAGAAAAGTGGACAGTGAAAGTTATAAGTTGTTGGTGTTGCGTTTGCACGAGTCGAGTTCATTTGTATTTTCGATTCACGTCAGCACGAGGATATTTTGCAAGGAATATAACTAATGAAAGAAAGTGTTACGG